TACAACCAGAACTTTTCCGCCGGAGTTTCCAGCTTGTGAATGCGAAGAAGAAAAAAAAAAAATTTTTTGATTGTTTTTTTTTTTAAAATGATTTTCATAAACCCGCTTGTGCTTTGAAACGTACAGTGAATGGGTTTTCTTCTCGAATGTGTCACTTTTGGTTTACGTTAGACATGAGAAATATTAGGAGATGCAAAACGTGGGTAGTATTAGCTTTATACTAAAAGTGATTAAACATGAGAGGGCGCGTTGCAGTGACACGTTTTCATGGGAAAACAAAACACACACGTCAGTCCTTTAGCTTTTTTTGTGGTTCTCCTGTTTGCTGGTGAATTGTTATCACCATAAACATCTTCTGTTATTAATTGTTACATACAATTAATCCGTACAGTTCGTTTAATTTATTTTAATTGGGTTATAAACAATATGTATATACATTTTTTTCCATTACAAATTTTTTTTACGTATGTATGTAATATTCTGAGAAAATGATAGACTTTTTGGTGTTAGAAAGTGGAAGAATGGGCCTCAGTTTGAATAATGAGAAGACAGAAGTAATGGTGGTATCAAAGAAACGAATTATTCCTAAATGTGTAATAAAAGTCGATGGTGTTATTTTAGCACAAGTACAGAAATTTAAGTATCTGGGCATATGGATAACATCAGATGGAAGATGCATAACTAAGATAAGAAACAGAATAGGGCAGGCAAAAACTGCATTTTATAAAATGAAGAAAACCTTGTGTAATATATCCTTGTCATTGAAAGTTAGAAAAAGAATTCTTGCTCGCTACATACATCCAGTTTTAATATATAGCTGTGAGTCCTGGACAATCGGTAGGCAGGCGAAACAATTTCTTGAGGCCTCAGAGATGTGGTGTTGCATAAGAATGCTTAGAATACCTTGGACAGCCAAAAAGAGCAACCAAGATGTTTGGAAGAGGCGGGAGCCCGAAGACAACTTATCACAGACATCAGAAGGAGACAGTCATCATTTTTCGGCCATGTTATGAGGAGAGGGGAAATAGAACACGTTGTGACCACTGGAAAGATCTGTGGAAGGAGGCATAGAGGAAGACAACGAGTGAAGATGCTTGACAGTCTTGTTGCATGGCATGGAGGTGTGTCGGCACACGAACTGATACATGCTGCAGGAGATCGTGGATTATGGAGAGGCATGATCGCGTACGCCTGTCGGCAAGGCACCTAATGATGATGATGATGATGTATGTATGTATGTATGTATGTATGTATGTATGTATGTATGTATGTATGTATGTATGTATGTATGTATGTATGTATGTATGTATGTATGTATGTATGTATGTATGTATGTATGTATGTATGTATG